GGCAGAACCAGGAGTACCAGGTGCTGCTGGACGTGCGGCCCGGCTGGAGGGCGAGATCAACACGTACCGGGGCCTGCTGGAGAGCGAGGAGGGCAAGTACGTGTGACTTGGCGATGGCTGGGCAAGCCGTAGACCTGATTTTCAGGTTTTTCCTCTGCGGTAACTGAAGAGCTTGTGGAAGGAGAACGCCTTGCCCAAAGCAACCTCGCGGGGTGCTCTTGCTGCGTGAGTGATGCACGGTGCCTGCTCTGTGCAGATCACATTGCTGATAGAGCGCTATATAATTTGATGGTCAGGTCCCTATGTTGGCTCTGGGACGCAGAAGGACACGGAGGGGAGTCGAAGTGGACTGCTCATGTGGCTTCCAAGGAGCTGGGCTGGTGACTCATTTGCAGATTTGTTCTCTGCCTTTCGGAATGACCTTTGTTCTATCCTTTGCCGGTGCGTCTTTGTCTTTTTATTCCCCCTGTTTAACTCTTCCCCTCTTTTCTCTCTGCAGGCTCCCCTGTAATCCCTGCTCCACACCTAAATCCCACAGCCTTTGCCCCAGCTCTGGCCCCATCGCCGGTGGAGCCAGCATCGGGCACCGGTGCTGAAGGTCTGACTTTGATGCACGAGGTGAAGGCTGCTTGCACTGGGGCCAGCGTGGCCCTCCCTCACCTTGCTTAGTCTTCTTTCAGAAACACCTTGGGAGGCATCTTCGTTAACTCAACGAGAAGCCAGACCCACACCACCCCCCAAACACAGCAAGTCCGTTCTGGTGGCACAGTGGTTATGTGCTGGGTTATGAGCACCAAGTCTGTAGTTCAAGAGCACCAGCTGCGTGAGGGGCAAAAAAGATGACTTGATGCGTTCTCTTCCTGCAAAGAGTTACAATCTCGGACACACAGGGGCAGGTCTACGCTGCCCTATAGGCTGTCCATGAGTCAAAGAGGAGCCCCGCTAAACCCCCCAAAATCCCGAACTCACTGTCAGCAAGCCAATCGCCAAGAGGAGCAGATTCCTCTACACAGTGGCTTACATTGTATTTCCTTGCAATGGTGCAATCGTCTTTCACGGAAGCGCTGCCCGTCATTGTATGGCTGCACCTCTTCTGGGGTTTCCTTCTTCTCCAGGGCTTTCGAATCCTTTAAAGTGCAGTTTAGCTCCTGTGTTCAGTTCTCAATAAAGCATCTTCCTGGACCAAGGAACCGCCTCCTGGTGTGTGGTGTGTGTGTGTGTGTGTGTGTGTGTGTAGGGAAGATGGCCGTGTCCCCGGCCCTGTCATGTTGCTCCCAGGAACTCTCAGCGCCCTTCAGCCTCACCCTCACCTGCAGGTCCTTTCCTGGCTTCCGGTCCCTTGCCTATCCCCACAGATCTGGTGAAAGGGAACCGTGCCGGGTGCCAAGTTTACATTCCTTCCAAACAGCTCAGAACAAACATGTCCCTACGGTGGGCTTGGCATCTCTGGCCCTTAGTGTCCTGAGAGCACAGTCGTGTGCTGTCGATTTGCAGCCTAGTCAACGGGAGGGCATGTTGAAAGCTGCCTTAGCCAATGTGCTAGGTTTTTGTTTTTTTCCCCTCTCATGCAAATTGGACCCTGCAGCAGAAGCATGATTCCCCCCCTGCCCTTCGACACGGAGGCCCACGCTGGGGACAGCTGCCTTGGTCTTGGCCCATTTCCTGAGGGTGGCTGTCCCCAGAGACTGGTAGAGGTCCCTGGACATGGGCTTGTCTGTTCTGAAGGGCTGGTGCAGAAGATCGCAGTGGCCGGCAGAGGACTCCAGATCCCCTCCTGCCTTGGGAACCTGGCTCTGACCCCAGATGGGGCAGACAAGCAGATGGGGATGAGGAGCACCCAGATGTGGCAGACAAGCAGATGGGGATGAGGAGCACCCAGATGTGGCAGACAAGCAGATGGGGATGAGGAGCACCCAGATGTGGCGGACAAGCAGATGGGGATTAGGAGCAGAGAGGCTGAGATGCTTTTCTTGCCGTTCCAGCTGGTCGAGCTTTTAGCAAGTCCTGAGGGAGCATGCTCGGGTCTCAGAAGGAGACGCTCAAGTTTCAGCTTGTCTGGGAACCCTGGCGCCAAGGCCAGTGTGGGATTGGCCCTTCTTTGCAGCAGCACAGAGAGTTGGAGAAAGGCTGGCCCTGAAGTCAGATAGACGTAGGTCCAAATCGCATCTCTGCTACCCAATCTGCCATTTCTCGTAGAAGGAAACTGCTCAGCAGGAATGGGTTATTTGGGCTTCAGCAGAGACAGGGACGGGGACAGGCAAAAGGCTTTCCTCCTTGGAAGGAAAGAAGAAACCAAGAGGTGGTAGCAGGACCATTAGCAGCCTCAGGGGCCATAGGACCCCCTGTTGGTGACCGGTCCACTTTGAAGTGGTGATGAAAACCATCTACTGATGTTATTGACGTTCTCTTCCTCATTCTAAGTGGCCTCACTGAACCCCCAAAGCCATCCTCTGGGCCATCAGAAGACAAGGGTATCTCTCTAGTGGATGCTTGTGGGCTTCCGCTAACAAGCAAGCAAACAAACAAATGCAAACTCCAAACCAAACCAAAACCACGACAACAAGATGTGTGCTTGAAGGAGTAGCCATCACCCTTCACGTGACAGTGTCGTGAAGACGTGGCATGTCTCCACGTTGCCTGCAAGGTTATGCCGTATTGAACTCTGAACTGGGACTCCGTGTCCATTGGGATGGCAGGAACGGCCACGGAGACACAGGGAAGAGACTGAATTCGGAAGAGGCTTTCGGGAGCCACACAGCTTGGCTCAAGGAAGTTGGATGTCACAATTTTACCCATATCTGCTTTTGCAGCCTGATGTTCAGGGCTCCCTCCGGCCCCAGATGCCAAGCAGATCTCCCTTCCTCTGACAGGCGACTTTTCTCCCAGACTATTTCTGCACACACGATCCTCTCTCTGATCTCCCTGCGTGGTGCTGCCCGATGGGGGCTCTAGATGCCATCTCTCAGTCTGATCTAGTTTGGCTTTGGCCACGGTGATTTCAGTCTGGGTATGTCTGGGTGACTCTCAGGCGAAGACGATTGGAAGACACTATTCATGGCCTGCGAGAACAACAAGGAAACCAGCCTTGGGTGATGCCCGGTCAGACTGCTGCTCGGAAGGAAGAAGGGCGAGACTTCCCCAGGAGAGGGCGGCTGCTAGGAGAATGTATCCCGGTCGGTAAAGCAGAGGGTCCGAAAAAGCGCAGAAACCCTCGGTGAGACGGGTTGGTGGTGAGTCTGGATACCACAGGCCACTGAAGTGGCCTCAGATGCACGGAGGGCCGTGAAGGTGGTGCGGGACTGGGCAGCCTTCCCTTCTGCTCTGCCCCAGGTTGCCGTGAGATGGCGCCCACCGGATGGCAACTCACGACAACATCCTTTCCCGCCTCTGGAGACGTTTGCTCCCTCAGCGCACGATCAGATACAGGTTGGAGCCAACTGCTAAGCCCATGAATGCTCAGTTTTACCAGCCCTGCGTGGCCAGTGGGCTGATGCGTGCGCTTCCTTCTACTCCATGCCTCGTGGCTGCAGGATCCCCTCCTCTCAGGCCCTGCTTCTGACGGCAAAGGCCATTTCTACCAAACCCAGCACGGCCGGAAGCAGCCAGGGTGGTCTGCCTGCCCCCAGCTTCGACAGAGCTCTGGGAAAGGGCTCACACATCTGCTCCCCCCACTCCAGCACAGGAGCATTTTTATTAGGACCCCATTTGTCGTGTGGCGGGCTTCGAGATGGGCTGACTGAGCATGGCCCCCAGTCCTCCCTCAGTCTCTTCCTTTTGTCTTCCTGGCCAAGGACTGGAGCAGATTGTCCCTCGGATGACCCCTCCACACGCTCAGCTTGTTGTGACCCAGTCCCCCCACCCCCCCCCAGAGGTCCCACTACTTCTCAAGCTTAAGAAAAACAAAAACAAAGACGCCATGCCCTACCACTGAATAAAGACCCCCCTCCACCTGCTCATTCAATGTTGTTTTAGCTTTTAAAAAACAGAAATACCAAACCCATTTCATGGTGTTTAAAAGACAGCTCCTTTGTCACACAGAATATGTTTGCTGTCAGCTGACACCCCTCCTCATTGAAGTCTCTCTCCTGTCACCTGCGTTGGTGATTTCAAACATCCTCTACCCTCCGGGAGATTGGAAGGGGGTCCTCCCAGGGACCATCACTGTTCTTACTCAGCTAGGAGCCCCAGGACTAAAGCAGCTGGCTTCACCAGCCAATTGAGTGTACGAAATCTTATGTCCGAGGGGCGTTCTCAGTGAGTGCTGGCTATCCAGGTTGCTCGTGGCTGGCTCTGGTCCTTCTCCTCTGAGCCCTAGTGGACAGTCCCAGTTAGTTACAGTTCACGCTCACATTTATCTCCAAACATGGACTCAGCTTCACCCCCCACCCCCACCCCCACCCCCGCCCCAGCCAGGCTTTTCTCTCGACTTCCCAATTTCCCTTCATCCGAGGCTATTCTCCCAGGGACCCAGCAGAGACCTCGGGGCCACTTTTGCTTTCTCTTCTTCCTTGGACCCTCAAATCCAGCAACGCATCCAGTCTGGAAGAGTCCTTTTGAAACAGCCCCTCCTCCATTCTCGCCTTGCCATTGGCATTCAGACGGCTGGTTTAGATTCCATCTCCCTCTGCCAAGGTGGTTGTGAGGCACCTTCTGCCTCCAGGCTCTGCCTGGACACAGCGCCGGTTCTGTGGGTCTTCTTGTAACGGCTGTTACGTGTATATCACCTGCACTGCCGTCAAGTTGACTCTGCTTCACAGTGACCCTATAGGACGGGGTCGAAGGGACCCTGTGGGCTTCTGAGGCTGAAGCGACGGGCGTATAAAGCCTCCTCTTTTTTCCTTGGAGTGGCTGGTGGTTTCGAAATGCTGACCTCTCAGTGAACAGCCCAACACATACTGTACTATGTCACCTGGGCTCCCTTAGCGCAGGGGCTAGACTATGCATTTTGTGCCAGAGAAGATACGAAATGGAGAGTCAAAGTTCCCGCCCCAGGTGCATAGTGAAGCCTAGATGAATTTCCCCCCAACTGTTATTTGGTCATCTCCCCGGTCTCCAAAACCTCCAGGGGCCTCCAGGAAAGTCAGTGCAGCAGGAAACCCCTGCTGGTTTCTAGGTCTGTAGCTGAGCACAAGACCCAGAGCAGGAAGGAGAACACCTGCCGATAAGGGCGGGTATCTGGGGCCTTGCCTGAGTGCTCAGTCTGGCCTCCACGATCTTGTGGCTGTATGGCAGAATAAAAAGAGTTTAGGTCTGAGGGTCAGGAAGACCCGAGGGAGTATTTCAAGGACTGCATGTCCTAGCGCTACAAACTCATCAATTCCCTTAACTGCACGGAGCTTCCTTCACTGTATGCTACATAGCAGTCCAAATCCTACCTTGCAGTGTGGTTATGAGGGTGAAACGAGACGACTATATGTCAATCACAATCCTTGAGGAAAGTGGACACTGACTAAGGAAGCCCGCAGCAGAACCGATGTGCTCGCATTACGACGCAGGTGAGGAGCAGGGAAAGTAGCGCGGGCTGCCCAAAGAACGCACAGATCTGCTTTTGGAGAAAGCTCGGCCAGAATGCTCCTTAGAAGTGAGGATAGGGAGGCTTTGTGTCACGTACTTTGGCTATGTTATCAGGACGGACCGGTCCTTGGAAAGGGACATCAGGCTTGGCAAGACAGAAAGTCAGTGCAGGAGAGGAACATCCCCCACCAGCTGGATGGACACAGCATCTGCTCCAATGGGCTCTGAGGTAGTTAGTTTATTGTGCCAACCTGTCCGATAAACACATGTGGGGTTAATTGAAGGGCGGAGGGATAAATGGCTCAGTGAGTCTCGCCTTTCTAGTTCTCGGGTCTCTTGCTTTCTGATGGTTGGACCAGGGTGCAGCTGCCTTAGCCAGTTCCCTGCTTCAGCTGGCAAGGCTCATTTCCTGCAAGACATCCCCGAGGAGAAGCCACATGGACCTACCCCGATGCTGCCCTGGGTGCTGGAGCAGCCGTGTGGAGACCCCTGCCAGCGCTGAGATGCTTACACGTTCACTGACTCGGCTTTCCTCCTGCAGTTGGCATCATTGTGTGTGTTTTGTGAGATGGAGGAGGACTTTGTGGATTGGTGTCAGACATATGGGTTAATGTTGGACTTGTGGGCTTGGGCAGCACTGGGCTGGGATGTTTTCTTGATGTGCACTTACCCTTTCTATAAAACTCTCTCTTATGCATATGAGTTTCTGTGGATTTGTTTCTCTCAAGGACCCAGACTCACACAGGCTCAAACACAGCAGTGAGGAGGACGGTCCGGGGCAGGGCAGTGGTTTCTTCTGTTGTCCATAGAATTGGAACTAACTTGATGGCATCTAACAGCACTGGCAACAGCCCGTGGTGGTGCCTAGTGACACCAATAAGGCTTGAGTGACGGTGCGCACAGCTACGTCTCTCTCTCGAGGAGAAATACTGCAAGCTAACTTATAAGAAATATTCCCAGCTGACAGTGAGCTGTTCAGACTATAGCATTTAGTCACCCTTTAGGTCTTGAAGGGAACACTCCCCCCACCCCCCTCAAGCTCTCCCGAGTTAGGGTTGTCGACCATTTAAGATCCAAAGGGCGGCATGGACCCGAGGACAAAGGACAGAGGCTTAGGGGGGCAGGGGGAGCACAACAAAGAAGCTCAAGGAGGAAGAGGGATGCGTGATGGTGCATGGGGGTGCGGAATTGCAGTGGATGGCTTGAAACAAAATGTGGACGAATTGTTGAATGTAAGACCAATGATCTGCGCTATAAACCTTCACATCATTCATAATAAAATTTAAAAAAATTAGTTCCCTTGACCTGTATTTGTCCTCCACAAGCCTTGTTCCTCCCAAGGAGTGGCCCTTAACCACCGGCATACGAAGCCACCCGGGACAGGTGACCTTTTTCAACACTCCCTTCTTCCATCCTAGATTTTCTCCTAAGACAGACCTCCGTGCAGGAGCGTGTGCTAGGAAGACAAACAGAACTTGCTTGCTGCACTGAAGAAACGGCATCGAACTTATTTTGGAACGAGGTCATGAAAACATTGGCTCCTCTTGACCTCTTAAAGAAGACCATTTGCCACCCTGGGTTCTGTTCACGTGTAAACTGACAGCCATGACACAGCGCTGCTGGTGCTGCAAAGTGCTGATTCTGTTTGCAACGTCCAGACCAGCACACCACCTGGGGACTTTCCAGAAATGTAGACCATCAGGCCTGACCCAAGACTCATGGAATCAGAGACTGACTTTGTTCCAGCAGGAGCTCAGTGGATGCTTGCTCATTTGGAGTAGGGCACTGAGAACAGGCCATTGATGCTGGTGAGCCGTGACTTGGTGAATAGTCCATGTATCTGTGTACAGAATAGTATGGGGGAAATCACCCCATGTGTCTTGTTGATGGTATATGGGACCAGATGGTGGCTGGCTGCATGACTAGTTATTATAGCTGAGCAGCTGGCAGCTCCAGCATCGTTCACGCAAGAGTCCTGGGTAAGAAGGCTCACTGGCCCACCGACTGGCAACTTCTTAAGCCAAATTAAGCAGCAATCCCATTCTAGGTCACCCCCTCATTCTGTCCCTCCCATGGAGGCTCAGTGTAACCAAAGGACTGTGTCCGGGATTGGGAAGGGACTTAGAACCACAGTAAAGGAAGGGGGATGGAAGGAACCAGGAGTAAGAAATCTTACATCTTCCCACAAAGAATGGAAAGTGTACCTTCGATTCAATGCCGCGCAATGATTGGACACCAGGGATAGAACTAGAAAAGTACAGTTATGAATCAATTAAACAGCAAACTCTGAGTTCGTCATGGAAGTCTCACCCGTGTCCAGCCCTGGCACCTTCCTGGCACACAGTAGGTGTTCAAGAGCTATTAGGTGAAGGCGTGAATGGAAGAACAAACAAAAGCAGTAGGTAGAAGGCCCAGAGAAGTAAATTTTGGATTTGTATTAAGAACTGTCTTCCAGTCTCCTGTGTAGTACCCCGGCTATTTTGTTCTGGACTCTCGTCTTGTACAAAGCCCGGTGGTGAACTATGAAGCATGGAGCCCAAGTTGACCAGCGGTGGAATGGGCCATCCTGAAGGATGGTAGACGGAAGGGAAGCTTTTGAGATCCCTTCCGGCTTGACAATTCTCTACCTTAAGACCAAATAAAACATGCATTACTACTTCAAGCACCCTCCTTCATTTATCTATCTTAAGAATAAGGTCAAAGTCGTGTCAGCGTGGTCTCAAAGCAGGCTCCCTGCCCATTTCTAGGGCTCACTGAACAAGTGGCCATTGGCTTGCCTGGTTGAGGACTAGAGGGGACGATGAAGCTTCCAGATGCACTGACTATGTTTGAAGATTAAGGAAATTTAAATTTTCATCTGGAGTCTCCCAAGTAAAGTAGACAATTAAAGGAGGTTCATTTCAAAGAACAGTTCGAAACAAGAGGATCAAAGCTCTTGTGCATGTATCTTCTGTAAACGAGGTGAGGAGGGACTTGGTCTGGTGAGAGGGTCAGGGTCTAGCCAGGACAGCTGCCTGGAAAGGACAGGGAGGCTCCTGAGAACAGACATCATAGACTATTAATCACTGCTCGCCTTGATTAGCCCACATTTCACTGTGTGGACAATCACAAGTGGCTCATTTCACTCATTAGCTTCCCGCCCCTTCCACAATTGTTCAGCTGTTCCACATTTGCACACGGATCGTCTTGGATGCTAAAATAAATTTGACGGGTTATGTTTTTGTTTGTAACTCAGTATCAAGTACTTTTTAAAGTTCTCCCCTGAGTTTGGCCCCTGCATTATTTCAAACTGTGTTAGTTTCCAAACACCAAAATCAATTTGGAAATGAGGCTTTTCTTTTCATGGCTCCCGCTTTGTTTTCCTGTGACATTTACAAAGGGACCTTCTATTTCTCTCCTGCTGCTTTCTGCCAAGAGGAACCTGGCTGGATATTTTCTTCATAGCCGAGGAACAGTGGCTTCCAGGGGCCAGATCCCTATCTTGAGTTGCTTTTACAGGAAGACGAGATGTGGCTGAGGGGTTGGCATTCAAGGCTTCCCACGTCCTGGACCCAACACAGGTTCTATTGTTGACCTTGAGGTCTTCATCATAAGGGCAACAAAACTAGACGATTTACCATTTCCCAAACAAGCGTGCTTCTGTTCTCTCAGTGTGTTTATTTGTCTCTGTGAGAGAGAGCCTCTCTCTCAACTTGACATGGGAATGTTTTTCAAAAGATATTTTAAATGGCCTCTTCCCCAAGAAATCTTTTTTCCCCTTGGGTCTCAAGGTGCTTTCTACTTTCGCCCTTGACCTCACCATTCTCTTTTATACCCACTCCTCGTGCCTTTCAGATATCAGGACCATTTACCTTCTTATCCCTCTGATTAAAACATAGCCAGCCCTTCACATCCCCTCCTGCAAGCAAGCCTAGGTCAGTGATTGTGCTGAGGACACCCGAAAATACCTGCTGAATCAAACTGAGTGGTGGACATGCTCTTTCTTCCAAGTGCCAGATGAACTACTATTTTAGGCTTTGTATCAACGGGGACATTCTGGGGCTAGGAAAAGACAGCAGGGAAACTTTGAGGACATTTTAAGAGTTGCTGGTTCCTGTTTACTGCACACATAGAGACGGAGAGAAAGACCATGACGTAAACTCATTGTCATCGAGTTCATTCTGACTCACAGTGACCCTGCAAGGAGAGAGGAGAAATATTCCTGAGGGTTTCTGTGGCTAGGCATCTTTCTAGGAGGAGAAATGTCTCACCTTTCTCCCACAAGCTGAGAGAAGGGGAAGGAATTTACAGCTGTCGATGTGGGCAAGTGGAAGAAGATCCCACGGTCTGTTTCCTAGGATCCGTCCGTGCTGGGAAGCATCCTGCACAGGTTAAAGGTGCTTTCATGAGCTCATTAATCCTTTATGGGAGAGAAAGAATCACTGACTAATAGAGTGATTGTATAACAATCAACATAAATATCAATGAGGAACATGCCAGTTTTCTTGCACCAACACCCACTACCAGGATATAAAAGGGCCAGGGGAGAAGGAAGGTTTCAGTCTCCAGGCAGCCCAATCCCGGGCAAAACTGGAGTCTAGACTTCTAGCACTGTGGCCCCTAACTGCTACAGCTCCTGTCTCAGTGGGCAGGCTTCAAAGGCCACGGCTGCCTCCCCATGCCTCTCAGCCGGCCTGGCTCACACCAACCGAGTGCATGTGGGCTCAACTCCTCTGGGCAGGCCCAGCCTCTGCCTGCCCCCCAGCTGCAAGGCTGCTTGCTCCTTGTCAGGGACCTGCCATATGCCCGTCAACCTTGGGAGCTGTGGGCTCTCCAGTGAAGGCACCCTGAACCGCCATGAGAAGGAGACCATGCAGTTCCCGAACGACCGGCTGGCCAGCTACCTGGAGAAGGAGCGGCAGCTGGAGCGGGAGAACGCGGAGCTGGAGACCAAGATTCGAGAGACTAGCAAATGCCATGCATCCTCAGTGTGCCCGGACTGCCAGTCCTACTTCTGGGGCATCGAGGGGTTCCAGCAGAAGGTGAGGCTTGTGGTGCTCTAGGTCAGGGATCTAGAACCGATGGCCCAGTCTGCTGCCCGATTTCATGAATAAAGCTTTTTTGGCACACAGCTACTCTCGCTCATTTACCTGTTGTCGGTGGCTGCTCTTGCGCTACATAGGCAGAGCTGAGTCGTGGCAGAGACGGCCTGCCCTGCAAAGCCTACCTTCTTCACCATCTGCTGACTCTCATGGCAGGAGTTCAGCACCTCAATGAGTAGTGGAAACAGCCACAGCAGAAATGTCTTATTGATTACGGAAGAGAGTCTCTCGCACGAATGGGAATGAGAATATGTAAAAGAGCTGGAGAGTCCAATTCCCCAGTGTTCTGAGCTCATGCTTCGCGGGTGTCAGAACTCGCCATTCCTGAGCAGTATGCTAGCTGCAGTTTCATGAAAGCAACTGGATTTCACGTGCAGGAAATGGGGTCAGCAGAGTCCTGGGCCTGCGTACTTTCGGATGGCCTCGAGGAGCTGACCCCCAGGATGACCGATGCAATCTTCTTCAGAGCCTACATCTTAGCTGAAGACCGGAAGACAACATGTCCGAAGAGCTGCCCGAGGAAACTGGCTGTAGCGTCAGGGAAGACCCTTGGAGAGGTCGGCTGATGCGAGTCAGGAACTTCTTACTTAGAATGGACCCTACCTAGTGAAAGCATCATTACCAGTCCATTGTTCTCTGTCCTAGATTTCAGATCTGCTTGTTGCTCTCGGGCTAAACATCACACCTGGCAACATAAAGCTAAGCCTTGGCTACAAGTTCCATTTGCTACGCTTTTTCGAGTAGGGTCGATGCCTTTGCCCTTTACCACATAGCCTCCTGCACATCCCTCTTCCTGTACTTCCCAAGTACCTCTTACATTTTGGTTGCACGTTGGGCTGCTAACGGCAAGGTCAGCAGTTCGAAACACCCAGCTGCACCTTGGAAGAAACACGAGACTTTCTACTCCCCTAAAGAGTTCCAGTCTCGGAAAACCTCCAGGGGCAGCCCTACCCTGTCTTATGGAGTTGCTCTGACTCAGAATCAAGGTGCTGGCATTGCGTTTGGCTGTAGGGTTTTACCTTGTCCAAGGAGATATCCCAGTGGACTCTAGTCAAGGGTACTTCCTCTGACCTGAGGCAAGAGGCGGTCCTGGGAGTAGTTAATCACCACGCCTGCCTTCTTTCTCCAGATCCTGTGCGTGAAATCCGAGAACAACAGGCTGGGGGTGCAAATAGACAATGCCCCCAAATGGCTGCAGATTACTTCAGGCCCAAGTGAGCTGGGGTGGACAGGGAGGGAGAGGAGCATGACTTCTTCGCTCCTGTGATGCAGTTGGCATCAGAGATGCAATGGTCCGGGACCCCCCTCTCCTAATAAGACAGGAGAGGCAGAGAGCCTGAAGGCCGAGGGCTTGGAAATAACCCTGTTCCAGTCGCTTCCCCTCTGCTGTGAACAGCATGTTTGAGAACACATCACCCCATTGCGTCTATTCCAAGAACAACCTTGTGAGGCAGGCAGGTGATGAGAACATCCCCGTGCTGCAGGTGGGGACACGGAGCCTCTGAGCACTTTAGTGACTTGCCGGATGCCACCAGGGGTAGACCTGGGTCTCCCTTCTTGAGTTCATGCTCTCCTAAGCCCTGCTGCCGGAAATGGAGATGCTTCTGCCCTGGAGTTCTGCCAACGCTGGTGTGCTCCTAATCCCCCGCGGGACCGCTGCTTCACAGCCTATTATGGAGGCAGGGGGCACCCCAAAAGTTCATCCCATTTGAGAAGGGTATGACTTGGGAGCACGCAGGGGTACCTTGCTGGGTGGTCTCTCTGCAGGGCCTCACTCCTCTAGAGCCACAGAAAGGCTTTTCTGATCTTGCATGGTGCCAGTTTGGTTTTGAATCACAGAGAGATTTGAAGGGTTCATCTCAGATTCACAGGGTCCATCTCAGGAGGGAAGAGCAGGGTCTGGGCTGCTCCCACTCTGTGGGCACTTGTCTGGTTACTCTGCGGCACCCTTTTTGGGCCATCCGTCCAAGAAGGCAGGGGCTCGCTGGCCTGTCTCTCCTGGTCTTTGCAGTACCTGCCCCATCTTTTTGCTTCACCTTAGGGGCTTCGTATTGAGCGATGGGGAGACTCCTCTTGCTTTTCGGATGATGAGCCCACCACTCAGGACAAACCAACTTGAAATTAGACCGAGAAAGGGCAGGCCAGTGGAACGACAGCTGTCAGTGGTGTGCTGCTACGCCTTCCTGCTCTTGTGTCCTGACCTGGAACCCCATGCTCTGTCCTGCTGAAGGTACGAGACGGGGCGCTCACTCTGCCACCTGGGGGAAGGCGACATCTGTAGCCTGCGCAGGGTGCTGGATGACCTCACCCTTACCAAGGCCGACCTGGGGGTACAGGTGGAGTCCCGGAAGGAGGAACTACTGTGTCTCAGAGGAACCATGAGGAGGTGGGTGGGCCTCTGTGCTACTTGCTGAGACTTTCTGGGATGGAGAAAGGAGGCTTTCTCTTGCTCAGGATGGGTCTCTTGGGGCCCTGCCTCATGGGGAAGCCTCACCGGCCTTTGAGATCGGCTTTCTTTGGCACTCCATGTGGAGGCTGCTTTCCAGCCACAGCCTCTGGAGCTGCTGGGCTTGTGCAGGCAGCGCCTCCTCTCCAGGGGAGTCCAGGGAAATGACAGAGAGAATAGGCCCAGGCTTTGGGTGGAGGCCACTGGGGGTCTCAGGAATAGGACATCCTCTTTTTATGCCCACAGGAAGTCAACCTTCTGAGGGGCCAGCGGGGGGACATGCTCCAGATAGAACTGGACACGGAGCCCACGGTGGACCTGAGCAGGGTGCTGGGGGAGATGCGGGGCCAGTCCGAGGCCGTGGTGGAGACCAACGGCCAGGATGTGCAGCAGTGGTTCCCAGCTCAGGTGCGGATG